CCGACAGACACAACCAGGACTCCTCCCGCATGTGGCCCAGGCTCCACCGTTGTTGTTTTTTGTCTTACTACCACAAACCCTCCCAACGGCAAGAAACTCTCTGGAGGGGAGGCAAAGGAGGGGACCGCTCAGTCTCTCCGCAGTGCCCTTTATCCCCCCGCCGCCAAAAAACCCCTCCTTCATTAAAACTGTTGAAATGTAGCGGGGGAAGCTTCATTATGGGAGTAAGCATTGTCAGGGTCTAGGCCAGATCTTCATGCTGAAGGGGGGGGGAGGAAGAGAGGGGACCGCAGAAGTCATCCTTGCCAGCAGACAGGGACGATCTCCACATGACCACCTCCCCCACTTCCCCGCCGCTGCTCGATTAGGGAGTTGGCCACAGGAATCAGACACTCCAGGACTCTCACACTGCAAAGGGGAGTTTGAAAACCAGAGGGGAATCACCCGTGCGGCTCGCGGTCCGGAGCTTACGTTATGCCACCCCAGCACCAGCCCAAAATCGAATGCAAAGAGCTCAGGTTGGGGAGCCAGTCCTTCAAACCTTTAGCAACAAAACTGTTCAAGAAACAAAAACAACAACAACAACCAAGTGAGGTAATTAAAAAAAAAACGGCCAGAGAGAAGACCCCCTGAGCCATGTGCAAACCGAATTCCCTCCTTCCTCTCGAAGGAAGGGAGAGTCTAGCTTTCCTCTTTTCCTCACCGCGAGATGACACATTCATTTCAGAACACACCCCGGGAAGGAAAGTGGGGAAGAGAAAACACGGGGTGGGGGTGGGGGGTAGCACCACATCAGCCCCTGCAGCCCGGGATCCAAAGGGGAAGGGGAACGATTGTACCACATCTAGGCAGAGAGGCGGTGGAGGAATGGCAGAATGCATAGAAAAAGGAAGAAGCCGTCAGGTTTTGCCTCCTTCCGGGGGTGGGGGGTGAGCATGTTCTAGCGCAAGCAGCAAACCAGCATTTTCTCTCCGTAAGGAAGGGGTGTCGTTGCATCTCAGCAAGACCGGGCGAGAGTTAACACTCCAGTTTTGGCGGATGTGCACGTGGGGTGCGGGTGAAGGGGAAGGTGTTATGGCACAGAAATAGTTTCGCCTCCGCTTCGATAAAGCACGAGGGCCGATGCCTGAGCCCGAGGGACGAAAATCGGAGGGTGAAGAGAGCCCAGGAACGGAACTGGAGACAAACTCCCTCTTGTGGAACAGTCAGGAATTGCCAGATCACTTCGCAGGCTGGGCGCTCCCCTTCCGGCACTGCCGAAACCGGAACAGAATTTGTTTAAGCCGAAAAATTCTTCACTCCACTAAGCCAGGAGTCAGGTTATGAAACCGAGAGGCCCACGAAGGACGTTAGGAATGATTTGATCTGACGGAGTCCCCGGATGCCACTGTGAGCACATTTGCTGGCTTGTGGTGATGCCGTAATGAAAGTCATGCGGCGGAGGCGAAATTCTTAGATCAACGGGGGAGTTTGGGGTACACAAATGAAACAGATGGTTAAAAATCCAGCAGTAGCCTTTAAAAGAGGAGTCCCCTTCCTCCGGGGAACTATTTGCCGGGCAGAAGCAAGCTTGTAGGCACCCGCCTGCCTATTGACACCCTTCTCTCGTCATGCGCCAGCTAAAAACACCCAGGGGGATTGCCAAAACGTTTCAGACCGCAGGATCTCAACCTAAAGACACCCATAGGTGGAGTGGTTGCAATTCAGAGAAAGATACAGATACGCTTCCACCCAGTTGAAACTGCTAAGATATGTGTTGCCGGGGCGAGGGGGATTAGATACACCTAAGCTTCACAGAAACTCAGGAGGGCTTTTCTCTCCGACTTGCAACCAAACTCACGCTTTATCTAGGGCACAAAGAAGCAATCCCTTCCCCCAGCAAGGACAACCCCATTTCCCTTTGACAACAGAAAGGGTGACATGTATATTGTTTGGACACACAGGTAAGATCCTTCCGTTAAAAGCGAATTGGGCTTCCGGGTCATGCTCAGATGGACAAAGAACCAGGCTTTCTTCTTGAACTGATCAAATGAAAACTGAATGTCCGGGGGGGGGCAGAATGCCGTTCTCGGCGCAGTTTGTCCTGCAAACCGCTGCGAGGGATTCTTGCCGACCCGCTTGGGCAGAGATGAGGCCGGGTTTTCTCGGCTGTCTTCCTAACCCTGCCCGGGTGCCCTGGGCGTCTCCCCCTTCACCTCTGCCTCCCACTCACTGCTTCTGCCTCGATGCGCACTCTGAACGAGGAACCCTCGTACGAAAGCGCTGTCGGCAGATCCGAAATGACGGAACAGGGAGGTCGCCCTTTCGTCTTCCCGAGCCAGGAGGTCTTCTTGGAGCCCCCTTCTTGGAGGTTTCCCGCCGGCTGCTAGTTAATCAGCAGCATCGCAGCAATGCATCTCTATATAAATACATTAAATTATATAAATA